ATTTATAGTTTATCATTTATTAACATAAATAATTATTGATTTATTTTATAATACATATACATAATTTATTTATTTATTTTTTATTAAGAACCATGTCAAAAAAATATGTATATATAATTTTTCTATTTTTAAAAAATATTTGAAACGCGGCAGGGTCAAGTATGGGTTATAATTAATATATGTTCACGTGACCAAGACAATCACAGCCGATCAGCGAGCCAGTTCGCTTTTGAATTTTAAACAGGGATTCTATGGCCCACGATATGAGCCGTGAGGGGTCATCTAACCCTCTGGGTACTCCACCATGAAGAACAAATTGTAAGCTCGAAGGACAGCAAATACATAGAGAGTACTGAGTACATGTGCGCCTCAAAATGGCCACAAATGCACTGTTGTACACGATTAAAAACAACACGCACGCCAAAAAGACACGTGTGCTCGATTGTAAATTTATAATGCCTGACCGCGATAAAGACTGGTTAATTGTACCATGGAGGTCTTTATTTATAAAATTGTTTGTTTTTTTTAAAGTATTTTTTTAAATGATTTTTTTACGTTAAATTATCTTTTTCTTTTTTTGTTTTTATAAATCGTTTTGATACGTTAACAATGAAAACAATTTTAAAAAAATATAATTTTAATATATTTCTAAATAAAAACATTTTAAAAAATAATTATTTTCATGCTTCCAGACCCTCCATGGTATATCCTCTAGCCTTCTACGGCTATGTCAAAAACATTTTTAAAAATATATGTTTTCAACCCCCTAAAGTTGAGACATGGAAATAAATTATTTTTAAAAGTATTTTTTTATTTTAAAATATATTAAAATAATATTTTTTATTTTAAAAAAAATATTTTTAATATCAATGTATTAAAATAATTTAAAAATTAAGAAAAAATCAAAACTCAGTAAAAGATGGTTGCAACACTCGGCCACCAACCCCCTAAAAAACCAACTTTTATGCGAGGTTTGATTGTTGTCCTTTATATAAAAGTGATGAAGATATTAAAAATAAAAATATATTTGACTGGGAAACCAAGGATGGATGCATAAATATATTATTATAATATTGTTAATTTTAACACTTTCTCTGATACGAAGTAAAAAATACATGTTTATCTAGTTGTTTTACAAAATATGTAAGTTTAACGATAATTCAGATTAATGGTATAATATTTGTTTTCATTTTTTTATCTTGTATGTCATAAATAAATAAAATATAAAAATAATTATTTGATTTTGTATATTAATATCAAATATAATTTAATCTTTATCTCATTTTTTAATTTATCTTTTCTATCTGTTTTTAATATTTCGGTATAACAACTAAATACTACCATGGAGAACCATAAAAAGAATATTAAATGTCCCATTTCCATACTCGAAGAATAAATAACTCCGACGCAGTAATAGTGACTGACATGGACATTGTTTTATTTTTTTAACCATAAAAACTGATTTCTTTCTTCTTCTGCTTCTTTTTCTTTGAAAAGCAACGGGCAAGTATAACAATACAAAAGTATATGGTCGAATGCTGTCGATGCCTGTTTTATAAAAAGCGGATGATCCCAGGCTAGTTGATTTCGTTTTATTTTGATATCCTCTCATATTTAAGCTTTATATTGCAATCCAAAACAATGTTATAAAACCCAATTTAATATAACATATTAATTAAATGATTTTTTCAATCTAGAAATTAATTACAACCCAGTTTTATATTAAATTAAATAAAAGTTAAAATAATCAAGCTTAGATAATTTAACAAGTTAATTTATTATTTGATTATAATTTTGATAATATGGGATTTACAGATCAGCTTACGCGCATCACGGTTAATTTCTGGATCTATTGAATATCCTGCAAGTCCAATAGATAAATAAGACACCGCGAGAGTGATAGACATGCACGCTAAAATTTGAACCCGAGATGTTTGGATAAGAAAACCATGTTAGGATCGCGAGGCTACGAGCCTCGGTGTATTATTTGGTTATAACTTGATTATATTTGAATTTAGTTTTTTAAAAATAATACTATTTAACTTTAAAAAATCATCTTAAAAAAATATATTTTTACTGGCTTAGTTAAACTTGAATGGCCTATCTAACCTCAATTTGAAATTTGGATTGAATCATGAATCAAATGGATCTTGCATCTACAATTTATAAATATTGAAGTATCACTAGTGACAGTAATAATTGCTGACTCATTGGTATTTTTTAATGTATTTTTATTTTAAAAATAATGTACATTAAAAAAAATGTTTTGTCTTTTTTTTCCATCAAAAGTATAAACATTTTTTTAATTACAATGTTTTTTTCTAAATGTCCTGGATCTTGCTTTTTTTTATATATATAAAAAAAACCCTTCAAGGTAAACAAAGCCTTAACTAAGCCTTTTTAAAACAAAAAAGATAAAAAGATGAAAACAGTTGTGTTAAAAATACCTCAATGTCAAATATGATAAAGCATGGATGGTTTATTTATATAAAAGTTTCTGAGTATTGCAAACTAACAGATGTATGTTTACAAATGATGAACAAAACCCTAATTTTTTTTACATGCTCCATCAAACGTGATTAAAAAAAAAAACCCATTCATTATCTTCATGTAATTTTTATAAGCACGCGTAGTCTGTGTGTGTATATATTCAATTAAAAATTATTAAATTAAGTAGTTAAACGACAAATCATTTAAGCACTTCTCTAAGCTAAGATGGCAACTTATTTTTTATTATTAATTTACCTTCTTGGATTTTAATCTTAGAGGAAGCTTGGAGAAAATAATTTGATGACAAAATTGAACCTGGATGTTTATAATCTAGATTTTTATAGAATACCTGAATGTGTATTTGTGGTAACTTTCCAAAATGTTTTTTAATTAGAAAAGTATTAAAATAATATATTTTTATTTAAAAAAATTATTTTTAACATCAATGCATAAAAATAATCTGAAAACACAAAATAAATATTAATTTAAAGTAAATAAAAAATAAATAAGTTTTAGTTTTTTTAAAAAAATGCTTTTCAAACACAAAAATAGACAAGATCAAATATAAAAAATACAATTAAAACACAGACCGGAGGGGATTCTGGCCTATAATAGTAATGACTATATTTTTTTGCTCACACGAAGCCATGAGATAGATCAATTTTTTTATAATATAAAAAAGATATTCAAATGATGACAATCCGAATGAATCTAAATTAACTTGATTAACCAGCGATCCAAGGTAGCCTCAAAAAAATGAAAGATAAATAAAATAAAATAAAGGCTTGATAGCCTGCTATCAAATAATGAAATTAAAAAAAATATACTTAAATTAAATCTAGCTAGTATTTAAGATTAGCAACTTTAGCCATTGAATCGAGATGACCATATAAAATATAAAAAAAAATCTTAAATAAAATCCCTAGCCACTGAAGAATATATAAAAAAATGAATAGTAATTAAAATAATGAGAGTTAAACCTGATATAAAAACTAATGAAAAAAATAACGAGGGATTCAATTGAAAAATAAACTAAAAAATAGATAAAAAACAATTAAAATAACGATAACTAATTTAGATTAATAAAATAAAATAAAATATCGATGAACAAAATTAAAAGAAAAAAATCAAGAGAAGGATTTAAAAAAAATAAAAAACAAGGACTAAGTATAAAAAAAAAGAGAGAAATGAAATAAAAGACTAAAAGACAAAATTGAAAGAAAAAGGCTAATAAAATAATAAAAATAACATAAATAATGAGAATGAGTATCATATTTGATATATAAACAAAACAGGATCTAATGGAAATGGATGAAATTAAAAAAAAAAAGAACAAATAAAAGAAAAATGATCATAATTTAATTTTTTCTTTGTTGTTTTTTTATCATAATAATATTATCTTTATTTTCTAGTTGGATAAAAAATCAAGCTATTAGTTAGGAGAAAATCATCTTAACATCTGTTGATTTTTTTACCGATATTTTTCTATCAAAATAGTATCATTTTTACTTCCTACATGATAAAAAAATCTGATTAACTCTAATAACACTGATCATTCAACCTAACTTGCGGTATGAGATGTGTTGATTCGTGGATTGAATTTTAAAAATATGATAAAAAATATACACTAAAATAATATGAAAAATCAATGAAATCAAGGTGAAATTGCAAGAAAAAAATTTAATTACACAAAGAACTCAAGATAAAAGAAATTGTAATCATAAGAATTAGAATTAAATTCAACAAAAAAAGATTAAAATCAAATGATTATGGATAAAACTAAAAAATTTAATCCGATTAGAAAAAAATATCTAAAAGAAAAATAAATAGGAATTAGAATAATGATGATCAATTTTAATTAAAAAACATAAAGATAAAATCAATAAATAAATAAATCAAATTCAAATAATTAAAAAATCAAGAATCACTTTGTAATCAACAAGAAATAACAAAAAATAAAATTATTATAAAAGTTACCTCGTGTCCTTACGGCTAACATGTGCTGATTTATCATGTAAAAGAAGATATCCCATTTTGGATGTGAAAATAATCAGTGTATATTAGAAGTGACGACACCTTTTATCTGTTTGCGTGTAATTTATATTTTTCAGTCATTTTTTTATTTATAAAAATCTTGACCCCTGTAATTGTAAAAAAACTGAGAATACACCTTTACAGCTGACACAAAAAAATTGATCCAAAAAATTACGAGGCAATTGGATTGGACACCAAATGTGAAAATTCAAAAAACTTCATTAATATCAGCTATGCTTTTTTTATTTATTAAGAACATAGGAGTAACTGTAATGTACAATAAAAATATAAAATTACCCTAAGTGTTTGTTTAACTATTTAATTTTTTCAAAGAGACATCACTTATTTTACACTGCACAATATACAAGTAAAACACTAATTCATTTTAGAATATATATATACATATATAACTTTTTATGCGTCGAATATTTGCATAATGAACCGAGAAAGAGACACCTATAAATTATTTCCCCGTCCTCCATCCTGCTCATTTCGCACCCTTCTTCCACCCGTTCGTCTCTCCTGTTCTCTCTCCCTGTAGAGATCAAGATCGATATTAGGGTTTCTCCAACCCTCAAAAAAATTTCGAAATCTACACTCATAACTCACCTGCATCTTCAATGCCGATTCCTCTACCTCGATCATCTCCAACCTTTTAAAAATTTCGCTTCTAACCTGATCACTCACCATGTTCGAAGCTCATGTATGTTACTTCTCTCCTCCATCTGTTCTGTTCTTTTTTAATCGGAACTTTCGTTTATTTTTACAAAATCAGGGAGTAGATAAGTAAGTTTAGTGTGTACACTGAAATTTGGCGAGGATGATCAATATATTTTTAGTGTGATGTTTTGCGTGTTTAAATTGCGGTCGAGTAAAATTAGGAATTGATTTTTATTATGATTACAAGTGACTAGGAATTTAACTAACATTTTAGTATTTTGTACCATTGTTAGGGTATTGTTAATGGTTTTCCTGAATTTTACGTTAATGAACATTCCACGTTTGTAACATGCTTGGTTAGATAATCTCTTGATATACTGAAACGGAAGCGGTTAGTTTAAATTACTGTTTTGGTGTTTGAAGGAGAAAATGCTCTTTAATTACGTTGTTCATCCTCAAGTATGCTTCAAGTAGGCTACATTTTTTTTTTGTTTGCAGGTTTTGCATTTGCTTCGAAGATACCTGGGCGAATATGTCCACGGGCTGTCAGTGGAGGCTTTAAGAATAAGTGTCTGGAAAGGTTTGTCCTCAAATCTCTGTGATTTGTGATCTTGCTGATCTTAGGCACTCGGTTCGTGATTCTTCTAGTTAATAAACCAGTGAAATGACCGCTGGATGCAAAATTGTCTTGTTGGGAATTATGTTTTTGTTTTCCTATCATTTATTTATTTTTCGTTATTTTTCTTATTAGCTCCCTCTATTTTTGCAGGCGATGTTGTCCTCAAAGATTTGAATTTGAAGGCTGACGCGCTAAATTCACTAAAACTTCCAGTCACTGTCAAAGCTGGTTTTGTTGGTACTATTACATTAAAGGTAGCCAATGTTGTCACCTACAGCCAGCTGGCTGAATTCTTAGGATTTTCATTTGCTCATGGTTTGTATAGTTTAGGATTGCATAACAACAATTTTTTTTGGTTTCTGGGGAGGACCTGTAGCTATCAAGCAGTCAAGCAATTTGTAGAAAGTAAATTTGTGATCAATATTGTCATGTGAAAGCCCTTGTTGTTTGCGTGTTAAAAGGGTGGTCACATAGAACTAATTTCAAATCCTGCCAATCAGAGCAAAGGAGTAAAGTGAAACATGGCGCTTAAGATTTCTAGTTGGTCGTCATTCTGACTTGCTTCATGACCTGCTAAGCTGGCTGATGGCTTTGAATGGTTAAATTCGTCTGTTGTGGAAAGGAAATCAATGTTTGGAACCAAGTAGGAATTCCATGAATGTTAGAATGACGAGGGAACTAGTTTGGGATTGAGGCGGAATGGCACAAAAGGATCATTATAGCTGTGCCAAACTAGTTCATGATAGAACTTATTTGTTTAGTGACGAGGGAAATACAACTTGTATTTGATTATGTTTCTACTTTTCTTATAGCTTCTCCATTCCAAACGATACTCATGTCCTAATTCTCTGGTTTTCATTCTTTACTCCCTTTCGTTGTTCTTAACTTACAGGTTCCCTGGAAAAGTTTAGGAAAAGAACCTGTGGTTGTTCTTGTTGATCGCGTCTTCATTCTTGCTCACCCTGCCCCTGATAGCCGGACTCTCAAGGTAGAACGCTCTTTTGTCGACCTGAATAATTATTTTTATTGGATTATTTGACCATGATCTTTCCTTTCCACGTTGGTTCTTATCTTTTCTTGCTTGACTATTCATGTAGGAGGAGGACCGGAGAAAACTTTTTGAAACCAAACTTCAACAAATTGAGGTGGAAGCTCATATATGTGGCATTCATACATATGCTTTCCTGTGCACTAATTGTGCCTCTTAATTTGGCCTGTTTTCTTTTTCATGATGCATTTAAGCATTTAACTGCATTATGGTTGTATTGAATGTTACTCTCTCAACAACATGGTTTCTCATGTGAGATTTATTCATCCATCAAGACTGGCAGCCCCTTTTGATCCATGATTCACCATAACTTTACCCCAAAGTCACACTGCCCTTCCATTACACCACTAGATAATTACCATGTTGCTTTTTTTTTAATGATATGTCTTCATAAAAGTGTTCCAGACACATATTAATTACCCGTGTTTTTGCTCATCTCTGTGCATGAGATGCCTCAATAGCTTTTAAAATGTCAACTGTTTCTGTTTTAGTGTTGTTCAAATGCACTTGATTTACATTGCATAAAGGGAGAAATCTTGGCTCTAACAAACTTGCTAATTAAAATTTTCTTCTCTCCTTGTGCAGGAAGCAGAATCTGCAACTCTTGAAGCAACTAGATCAAAGCTGGGAAGTGTATGGACTGCAGCTTTCTGCTCTCTGTTTTCATTGTGATTTAGTTGCTTTCTCCGTAAACCTTTCTATATACTGGATTAGGCTTGCTAAAGCTTTTAGCAATCTTTATTCAAATCATATGCTCATGGGTAGTGAAAAGCTTTATTTTTATTGATGTTTGGAGGCAATTTGTCCCCTGCTAGTATTTTTAGACTGGCTGTTTGAACAGTTTCGGCTTTGAAGGGTAGAGAAAAAAAACTCTCTATTTCTGTTGGTGTTTATTTGAAATGGACACACATAAAGCATGTGCATGCTTTGTATTATCAAAAAAATGTGGTGAATTCAGCATGGTAAGGAAATTTGATTGACATCTGAGTCTTTTGCAGCCTTCTCCAGGAAATTCATGGCTGGGCTCTCTGATTGCCACTATTATTGGAAATCTTAAAATTTCAATTAGCAATGTGCATATCAGATATGAGGATTCAGTCAGGTTGGCTGAGAATTTTATTATTGATTTCTTTTATCTGTATTTATATACTATTCCACACACTAATTTTGTTTCTCATGTCACAATTCCATGAATGATTTCGCGTTTTCTACTTTTCTGTTGTCCATTATGGGTGCCCCTTGTTTATTTAAGCTACTAACTAATGATTTTGCAGTCATCCTGGGCATCCATTTTCTTGTGGTGTTACCCTAGCGAAGCTGGCAGCTGTCACAACAGATGAGCAGGGTATTGAAACATTTGATATCAGTGGTGCTTTGGATCGATTACGGAAGGTTAGCATGTCTTTTTACTTATTGTGATCTTTTGCTGAAATGGATGTTTGAAAACAGTGCATAGCATTTGAACCTTTTATGCAGTGAGAATAATTGGATATAATATTACCTCTTTTGGAATGCTGTGACTTCAGATGTGTGTATTTACAGAATTTGCCTAATCCAAGTTTTGCACTCTCTTTTGTTGCTGATATGTCTTCTGTTAGGCAACAGTAGATATAAAGAGAGGATTTACGTAAGCACCCAACCAGTTATCTCAGGTTTTTGTTGAACCTGTTTTGAGGTTAACATAAGAGGTTCTAGTGCATGGTACTGGTATATCTATTGTTAGGCAGCAGCGGATAGAAACAGATGATTTATGCAACCACCAAACCACTTCTCTGAATGTTTTGATTGAACATGTTTTAAGATTAACATTAGAGCTAGATTGTAATAAGAGCGGTTGTTAAGGGGGTAAAAACTCATGTTCGAGGATTATAGCAAATTAAAAGGTCTATATTGTTAGTGGCTGGAGAAAGATCTTTTTAAGAATTGGCAGTGGTAAGGGAGAGAGGGAAAAATATATATTTTTAGGTTGTGCCTTTAGACGTAAAAAAGTAGAAAGAAGTAACGGATTATAACAAAATTCTTAGTGGTCTACTTTAACCTCCATCCCTTGCCCCTTAAGTGCTGGGAGTTGTTAATCCTGTGAATTCTCTTCCTTCGCTTAAAGGAACCATTCAAGGAAAGACAGGATGATCCAGCTCTTTCCTCTCAAATCAAGCGTACTATTACTTGAGTCTAGTTGTGCAGTATCTTTTGGAGATGTGATAGGAAAGAATTTATCATTCAAAATGATGGTGGTTCCTCTACATGATGGGACAACCTGACTATTTTAATCACTATTTAAGTTGATTTAATAGGCCTTTTGATCTGTATTCCTATGTTCTTTGCTTTTCATTTATTAGTTTTATCTTATAAAGCTTGCATCTCTTTGGACGGTGATCAAAATAATTCCTTTGCTTTTATTTATCAAGTTTGTCTTATGATGCTAGTGGTATTTACATGACCTTCAAATTATTTGGGCCAACAATTGTTTGCTTTAACAGTCATTACAACTTGAGAGGCTTGCTGTGTATCATGATTCTGATAGCCTCCCTTGGAAGAAAGACAAAAAGTGGGAAGATTTAAGTCCTGAGGAATGGGTTGAGGTCGGTAGCTGTTTATGGAATTATTAATCTCCATTATCAAGTAGTTACTTATCAAAATTTTGTTCTTCTCTTTGATGATTTTGGCTTATCCCTAAGATATTTGAAGACGGTGTAAATGAACCCTCTACTGGTCATGGTATGGTGTCCAAATGGGCTATGAATCGTAACTACTTGGTGTCACCAATCAATGGAGCCCTTAAATATCATCGTCTTGGAAAACAAGAAAGAAGTGATCCAGAGATTCCATTTGAGAAGGCTTCTCTTGTCCTAAGTGATGTCTCATTAACAATTACAGAGGTACTGCAAATTTTGTTTCCTATTGCTTCTATTCTGCTTTATATCACCAGCATGCTCCACTGTGCTTTTTGTTGTGGGGAATTGCAGGATATTGCTATTCTCTTTCATTTTTCCTTAGTAGGTTGGGGGGGGGGGTATGGGGGATAAAAGTGTTTTTATTTAATTTAGTTCAGTCCAGGCCAATACCCTAGGGTTCTCGCACTGCTTGCCACCAATAAAACACAATCTAGTGAATTTCTCAAGCATCTCTTTTGTTTTCTTGGCCTTGAGTTCTCAAGTCAGGTACAACTCGATTTTTCTCACAGGTGCAATATCATGATTGGATAAAACTTTTGGAAGCTGTTTCAAGATACAAGACATATGTTGAAATTTCCCATTTAAGACCTAAGATCCCTGTTTCTGACAATCCTTGTCTGTGGTGGCGATATGCTGCTCAAGCTGTTCTACAGCAGCGAAAAATGTGGTACTGACATGTTATTATCCAGGCTTTTTCCAGTCTTTTCTTTTCATTTGGTATTTTAATAAGAGGATTGAATTGAAAATATGTTTAAAATGTTAGATATTCTTATTCTAATTGGTGTATCATATCTAGACAAAAGCTTTGCATTTATCATTCTAGCTGACATGCTCTATTCCTGAAATTGAAACTTACTAGATGATTTTCCATGCTTTAGCTACCGATTCTCATGGGACCGCATTCAGCATCTCTGTCAGCTTCGTCGCCATTATGTTCAATTGTATGCTGCCATGCTGCAACAATCATCAAATGCTAGCACCTCGGAACTTAGAGAAATGGAGAAAGATCTTGATTCTAAAGTTATTCTCTTGTGGAGGTAGACAGAACTTGTTTATTGGTTATTAAAAAAAAAATTGTTTGCTAATGCTCAAATATTTAGTATTGGACATTTTATATAAAGTTTTACAGGTTTGAGGCTCCTTTTACTGAATGCTGATAGTAGTTGAAAATGCAATTCATATTTTTGGTTTACTTGGTTTTGTGTATCCATCTATGTGCATTATTTAGGTTACTTGCACATGCCAAGGCTGAATCATTGAAAACAAAGGAAGCTGCTGAGCAGAGGAGGCTAAAAAAGAAAGGCTGGTTTTCATTTGGATGGTTGGTGGCAACTCTATTTTCACATCCTGTTCCTTGAAATAAATTACTTTGCTTTTGGTTGTTTTTTCTGTTTATCTACTGTTATTTTGTGTTCAACCATCTGTATTAATGAAACTTAAATTTGCTTATCGTTCCTGTCTCTGTGTGTTTGCCTTTATTTTGATTTACCCTTTGTCTCAGGCGTACAAATTCTGAAGAAGCCTCTGATGGGGATGCTTCTGAAGCATCCCAGTTAAGAGAAGAAAAGCTGACTCAAGAGGAATGGCTTGCAATTAATAAATTGCTTAGTTACCAGTCAGACGAAGAGTTAATGCCACATTCAGGAAAGGACATGCAGAATATGATTCGGTATTTAGTGACTGTGTCTGTTAAGCAGGCTGCTGCCAGGATAATTGACATAAATCAGACTGAGATTGTCTGTGGTAGATTTGAGCAGCTTCAAGTTTCAACCAAATTAAAAAATCGCGCTACCCACTGTGATGTGTCCCTAAAATTATATGGTTTATCTGCACCAGAAGGTTCACTTGCACAGGTTTGTTCACTATGGTGCAAGATTTGATATAGTATGTGGTAAATGTTTGAGTTCATGATTAAGTGCTGATATGAAAGTAAATTGTAGAGCCTCATTTCAATATTGATCAATGTTTTCAGTTTTTGAAATCTTTCTGAATGAAATTTCTCATTTTAGTTGTCTGACTTGTGTTCATGGATTTTTATTCTGATTTTATTTGGAGTAAGGCTGTTGCTGCGACTAAAGTTGTTGTGACTAAAGGTTGATTTTTTCTCTCTAATTGCTTTCTGCATTTTTTTTCCCAGAGCGTTTCTAGTGAACAGAAGGTGAATGCATTATCTGCCAGTTTTGTACATTCCCCAGTGGGGGAGAATGTTGACTGGAGGTTGTCAGCCACAATTTCGCCTTGCCATGTTACGGTAATTTTGTAGTGTTTTGAGAGAGATGGGAAAGGAGGGTCACCTTTGCTTGCAGCATTTGCATGTAGTTGTTACTTATATCACTGGCTGTGCCTATAAAGAGTGGCTTCCAGTTTATGTTGGTTTTTCAATTTGTTTTTGATCAACTATAAACATGCATTTCTTTGAGGAATAGAGAGGTGGTAGAGTTGACAAGTTGCCCTTTCAAGGACTTCCAATGGATGTTTTTGGCAAAAGAACGTATTGAATTGATTTTTGATGTTGTAGATACTCTTTTCTTTAAAATTTATAAATTATATGGATACACTTACCTGGCAAGTTGCGCATTCAAGGACTTCTGATGGATGTTTTTGGCAACAGAATGGATTGAATTGATTTTTAAAGAAAGTAATAGATACTCTTTTCTTGATTGAGTTGGTAGTCTCAGTGTCCTTTGGCACGAGATTTGATATGCTTGTGGTGGCATTTTACTATTTGCTTATTTGCTCATATATTTCTCCTCCTTTTCCACTTCCAATTTCACTGCACATGCCATACAAAGCTTCATTTCTTATTTGGTTGCAGGTTTTAATGGAAAGTTTTGATCGCTTTTTTGAGTTTGTGAGGAGAAGTAATGCAGTTAGCCCTACTGTTGCATTAGAAACTGCAAATGCTTTGCAGGTATCTATGTCAATATCTTGAATACGAAACCACATGGTTAGTAAATTAACCCTCTATTCATTCAATGCCACATGCAGATGAAGATTGAGAAAGTGACTCGAAGAGCGCAAGAGCAATTTCAAATGGTATTAGAGGAACAAAGCAGGTCAATTAACACTCATTTTGTTTTTCATTTTTTGTTCCTCCATCTGTTTGCATATTTATTATTTTTTCACATGCTGTTGTTTGAGATTTCAATCCCCATGTATTGAATGTTGTGCATACTGTCTATAAATTGGAAGGTTGGTAATGACTTTGAGATCAGTCATTATGGTGTAAAATGTTGAAGAGTTAGCAGATGCATGTAGAACAAGTCTAAGCAGTGGATGTGGATATGGTAGTTTACATACATTGGTGAGAATATGTTGGTTCTATTAATACCAAGAGGCTGGGCTGCTAAAATTCTCTCATGTGCCAAATAAGTCGCTTAAATTTTTTTGTTCCATGATATCAAGTTGAGCTATATTAGGGTATTGTGCTGGGGAAAAAGTGTCATGGGTTCGGGTTTAACTAAAAAATTGACCTCATTTTATTGGTAAATTTGTTTTTCTTTTTTTGGAGACAAATTCCTTGTACTTGTTGAAACTAAAAAGGTTTTTCCTATAATATCAGTTAAATAGATATAAAAATAACCTTTTCCGTTGGTTTTCTTAGATTGAAATAACTGAAAAATAGAGAAAGAAGAAGAAGAAAGGATGAAAGAAGAGGAAAGAAATAGGAATGGGAGAGACGTGTCATGTCATACTCACGAGACCACACCACACACGTGTATATTTATATAGAGTATGTAAGAAATTACAAAAACACCCTGGCAATATTTCCCTTAATAACATAATTGCTTTCTGCTTGAATGTTACTTGATGCATGTAAGCTTATGCAATGAGGTTGCTTTCGATGGGTTGGTAGAAGCTTAGGCTTCATGTTGTTGCCTTTCATTTTGTCAACCCTATCTTTTATTCAATCTGAGGAGGGAAGCAAATGATAAGTGGTTGATTCATTTATCTTCTTGGTTTTCCAGATTTGCCCTTGACATTGATCTGGATGCTCCAAAAGTTACAGTTCCTATGAGGACAGTCAGTTCTTCCAACTGTGATATGCATTTTCTTTTGGATTTTGGTCACTTCACATTACACACTATGGTATGCTTCTTTTCATGACCTTTTTCAAGCAGTTCTTACCTTGGCTTTGCTTGACATAAATATTAACGTTGCAGGAAACACAGTCTGATGAAAAGAGGCACAGTATATATTCTCGTTTCTACATATCTGGCAGAGATATCGCTGCTTTCTTTACGGACTGTGATTCTCACTGCTACAACTCCACAGTGGTTGTGCCAAATCATAATAGCCAGTCACTGACATCCCAGATACCAGAAAAAGTTGACAATTACTTTTCTCTTATTGATAGGTGTGGAATGGCTGTAATTGTTGATCAGGTATAACATTTACTTTTTTCATTATCTGTTATCATGTTTAATGTAAAAGGATTTGCTCTGGATTTAACCTTAAATGGTCTTAGGTGTCAACCATAATACATATTGGCATTTACGTCTATTGCCCGGATATTGCAGATTCATGAAATTGTCAACCTGCTGTTTTAACATACATTAGCTTTCATTTTTCTTTTGTATTTTGTTGTGGATTGTCCTTGATGTAAAAGCTCTTCTTTTGTTGTTTGTTTACAAACTGTTTGTTGAAGATCAAAGCACACCACCCTAGTTATCCTTCAACACGGATTTCTGTTCAAGTGCCAAATCTTGGCATTCACTTTTCACCAGCAAGATACTCTAGACTTATGGAATTGGTGAACATACTGTACAATACAGTTGACAACTATGGTCAGTCTACCGTCGATAATTTTCAAACCCAGATTGCTCCTTGGAGTTCTGCTGATCTTGCTACCGATTCTAGAATCCTTGTTTGGAGGGTATGCCCTTGTGTCTTTCATCTGGCTGGACATGGGGTTCAAGCATTTTAATCATTGATATAACATTTATGTTGGCACAGGGGATTGGCAATTCTGTGGCTCATTGGCAACCCTGTTTTCTTGTGTTATCTGGACTATATCTTTATGTTATGGAATGTCAGAAGTCCCAAAGCTACCAGCGATACTTGAGGTTTGCCTTTTCAATCGTTTCTTTTCTTTTATGGCTTTTTGATTTTTTCTTTGCTAGTAATCTTCCACTGTTAGCACTTATAGTCTTTCCTGAAGTCTTGTTATCATTGATATGTTATTATCAAGTCTTTGTTTCATAATGTGATGACTTTCTGGTTTGTGATTGTTCTCCTCCTTGAGTTTGTTTAATTGCTGTGTGTTGGTGATACTTTTATTAAAATATATTGCTCTTGGAGCTTGAGGTTCTTCACTTTTATAAAAATTCAATTTCTGCAGCATGGCTGGTAGACAGATAAATGAGGTTCCTCCATCAAGTGTTGGTGGTTCCCAATTCTGTGTTGCTGTGAGTTTCAGGGGAATGGACATTCAGCAAGTAAGTCATGTTTTTCTAAATTAATGCTGTGTTCTGAGATAGCTTCATCCCAATCTTTGTCTAGGTAATTGTTCATTTTTATCCCGTGACAACCATAGTTGTAGATTTATTTTAGTATTGATTGGTTTTCTGAAACAAACATCAGAGCAAAATAATTTGACAGTTGCATGTGGCATGGGACAAGGTGCAAGTCCATGGTCAACCAGAAGAATAAATTTTATCACTCACTCAATATTACGATAGTGGCTCAAACACCCTTTTGATTTTAAACCTGAGAAAGCTAAACATTTCCTATCTCTCTCCCCCATGCACACACCAGCACTGACATGCATGTGTAGACACCCTCATACCCATATTTGATTGAAAATTTGTGAATTCTGGTCAATAGAAGAGGAATAAACCTGATCTCTTAAATTTCAACTTGCATATGAAGATCATGATAGTGGCTCAAGCCCTGTCTTTGTTCTAGCCCCATTAAAGCCAAAGTCATTCCCTTTGTATCTCTCACACACGTGAATAGATTTTCTCTTGAAGTGATAAATTTTATGTGGAAAAATTTCACAGAGCTTTGAAGGCAAAGCTAATGAAAATTAAATTTGTATGACATGTGATTAATGCTTATGTTCTGTTTGATTTTCCGTTTCCTGCATTGAAATCTTTTATGAGTTAATTCTTTATTTTTTCAGGCGTTGGAATCTTCTAGTACCTGGATTTTAGAGTTTCAGGATGATGAGGAGAAAACGTGTTGGTTGAAAGGACTTATACAGGCTACCTATCTAGCTTCTGTATGAAAACAATATTATTATGAATTACTAATTTTGCCTGTTTAAATTTTAAGAGTTCACTAATTCATAATCATTCTTGATGAAGGCTCCTCCATCAATGGATGTGCTTGGAGAAACAAGTGGCATTGCATCCAACTTTGGAGAACCTGAAACACCAACTCTGAGAACAGCAGACCTTGTCATCAATGGGGCACTTGTGGAGGCCAAGTTATTCATATATGGAAAGGTTAGGGAATCATTTTTTAGGAAATCTAATTTTAACTGGTTGGGGTCTTTTATGTAATTATTGCAGTTCCCTGTCTTTTCTTGTTGCATCCAAGTTTTATTAATTGAATATTTCAACACATATGCTATTATTGTGCAGAATGGGGATGAAGTTGATGGGAAACTTGGAGAGACTCTTATTATCGAGGTTCATGCTGGCGGGGGAAAGGTTGGTGCAGCTTGTTTGTGCTCCACAACAATGATCTCTTGTTGGAAATGTGATTAAGAATGTTCATTATTTTTATCTGGCATGAATAATTCACATATTTCTTCAGTATTTTGATGAACTCATTTTCCCCAATAAGGGTTATAATTTGACTGGGTGTCTGATTCATTGTTAGGTTCTTTATATGCACTCACTATGCATGAGAGCATGCATGGGTTTGTGTGTATGAGAAAATATTTGAAAGTGTGTACAGAAATGTCAGCATCTCACTGCTAGAACAGGATATTATTTTTGCTTAGTAAAATGTCAATTTGCCTGATTTACTTTCCTCTTTTGCGAGACTTGTCTTTTCCTGATCAGCTACTCATGTTGGATATAATATCCTTGCATAGTACTTGGTACTACATTTTTAAAGTGCATTATTTTGCAGGTGCACATGATTCGTGCAGAGGGTGATCTTAGAGTAAAGATGAAGCTGCATTCCCTGAAAATTAAAGATGAGCTTAAGAGCCGCCAATCTGCAAATCCACGGTATTTAGCCTGCTCAGTGCTAAAGAATGACAAGTTTCTTGTATCCTCTCACAATGTTGATCCTCTAGGGATGGGGATGCCCATAGTATCTCATGATGAGGAGGATACTTTTAAGGATGCTTTGCCAGATTTTTTGTCTCTAGCAGATGGGGGCATTTGGTCACCAAAAATGGACGTCTCTCATTTTGGAATTATGGGAGATGCCAATGACTCTTCAGAATTTGAGTCTCCTGAATCCTTGACTCTTGAGCAAGATCTGTTACAAGGAAAAAAAATTCCTGATGAGATATTTTATGAGGCACACGGTAGTGATAATTCTGATTTTGTTTCTGTTACTTTCTCGATGCAAAGTTCTTCTTCACCTGATTATGATGGTATAGATACACAGGTACCAAACTTGAATATCACAGATTTTTAGTTTAACTTGTTAATTAATGCTTGAAATTGCTTTAATGATAAATATCTTTGAAATTTTCAGATGAGCATTCGCATGTCCAAACTAGAATTCTTCTGCAATAGACCTACTCTTGTTGCTCTAATAGGTTTTGGCTTTGACCTCAGCTATGTGGATTCTTCTGAAAGTGGTACTAACATGACTGAAATCTCAGATGATAAGTCTTCCTTGAAAGAAATGACTGAAGTCACAGGGCGTATAAAAGGGCTGCTGGGGTATGGTAAAAATCGTGTGGTTTTCTATTTAAACATGAATGTTGACAGTGTCACTGTGTTTCTCAACAAGGAGGATGATTCTCAACTCGCTATGCTTGTGCAAGAAAGTTTTGTTCTGGATCTCAGGGTGAGGAGATTATGATTATTAATAACCTTTCTTATCTTAATTTCTGCTGCAAAATTACTACAAGATTTAAAATGCTATCATGAATTTTAATTACCTGCTAGAAGATGCTAAGGACTGGCAAATTGTGTTTTCCAAGAGTTGTTTTATAGTTGCTTTCAAGATCCTTACATCTGTGCTGTGATTCTGACTTCATTTGTTTGGTTATCAAGGTCCATCCTAGCTCTCTTTCTATTGAAGGCATGTTAGGAAATTTCAGGCTCTGTGATATGTCACCAGAAACTAATCAATGTTGGAGTTGGGTTTGTGACTTACGTAATCCGGGACTTGATTCCCTTATCAAGGTATTACCTTGAATATTATCATAGCTTCTAATAGTTTGTGGGTAAAATCGTTTTTTCTTCAGTTATGAATCTTTTGTATCTTTGAAAAAAATAGGTAAATTGGTTTTTCTTTTCCAGTTCAATTTTAGCTCGTACAGTGCTGAAGATGATGATTATGAAGGATATGATTACAAGTTGAGTGGCCAACTTTCTGCTGCATGCATTATTTTCCTCTATAGGTTTGTCCAGGAGGTGAGTCGGAATACAGCTGGCAATTATTTGGTTCATGGCATGTGTGCTGGTATCTTCTTTACATGTCTATCTGTGTTTATTAATTTTAACTGCTAGTGCTTGTAGTGATTGAGCCTCTCATGGTCTGCCTTGTGATGTAGATGGGTTTTATTTGCTGGTTTCATTTCCTCTTCTTTTTCCTGAAAAAATTGGATGTTCTTACCTTACGGCTTTGGCTGTATGTATCACATGTTTCTGCAGATAACTGCATACTTTATGGAACTTGCAACCCCAAACACTGAAGAAGCAATAAAACTTGTTGATAAAGTAGGGGGATTTGAGTGGCTAATCCAGAAGTATGAGATTGATGGAGCCACCGCATTAAAGTTGGACCTCTCACTTGACACTCCTATCATCATCATTCCTAGGAATTCCATGAGCAAAGAGTACGTATTCTTTTTGTTCATGACATATGAAGTTTGATTGAGCTATTTAGAAAATTTCTTGTTAATGGAAATTATATTCCTGAGAGATTGTGCTTGCAAAGAACTTCTTATTGGCGCAAGATATTGCACGTGAAACTTCTGTAGCAGCAGTCTAGTCATTGAAAAGTTCAATTTGTTGATACAGTTTGCACTTGGCTGCTGTTCTGAATAATACATAAGTTTGGATTTAGTTGTTTGCTGCTAACATCAGTGGATTTAACGTGATAAAAACACTGCTTTACTACACAGTTACAGTCTATGCTTTGCCATCTGTGATCTGGAAATCCCAGTCCTCATTTGTGCATGGGAGCTTGGATAAGTTTTTTTCCTAGGGTTTAAGGTTCATGTTTAGTGGTGTCCACTCCCCTCCCCTCCTTCCCACCCACCACCCACGCACCCCTAACAGACCAAACGAACCCCAAAATCTTTTATTACAATACGCTCATTGATTCAAGGTTTTTTTTTTTGGAAGTTTGTTGCTTTCAATATTTTGCAGTTCTTCTGTTGTTATTCCATAACCCTTGTAATATGTTGTCGACAATTGCAGGTTCATTCAACTTGATCTGGGCCAGCTACAGGTGACAAATGAATTAAGTTGGCATGGTTCTGCAGAGAAAGATCCTTCAGCTGTCCACATTGATGCTCTTCATGCCGAGGTAGATTTCCTTATTTTTATTGTCATTATTTTAGACTTTCCATTTCTGAATTGTAGTTTAACCTGTCTTAAAATTTCAGATTCAGGGAATCAACATGTCTGTAGGAGTTGACGGTTGTTTAGGCAAGCCTATGATACAAGAAGGCCAAGGATTGGATATTTATGTGCGCCGTAGTTTGCGGGATGTCTTTAGAAAAGTCCCAACATTCTCTCTTGAAGTTAAGGTAACAGTTGTTTCTGGATTGTTTGCATCCAGTATGACCACTTTTTCTTCAAATCTTGTCGTTGAAGTATTTTAGTTGCTCCTGTTTGGTAATTCTCGTGGAGTGGACAAATGTTTTGAGCAGGTGGATTTCCTTCGTGGAGTCATATCTGATAAAGAATACAGCATAATTGTTGATTGTATGCGCTTGAATTTACTTGAAGAGCCAAGGATTCCACCAAGTTTTCGTGGCTGCAAATCTGATACGAAAGATGCAATTCGGCCGCTGGTAGATAAGGTCAACACAAATAGTCAAGTCCTCTCACAAACTGTCACTATAGTGGCAGTTGAAGTTAATTATGCACTGTTGGAGTTGTGTAATGGTGTTCATGAGTCACCTTTAGCACGTCTTGAGGTGAGTACCTTTGTTGATTAATAAACATCTTGAAATTTGCACGTTTGTATTTGGGTGTGTGTTGTGTGTCATAGTTCATATTTTTACTTTGGAATGATTTAGATATTTGAACCCTTCACATGTTTGTGTTCACACATTGTTCTTATTTCCAATTGTGTGGGTTGTACTTACCTGGTGTGATTGTTTGCATTTGCAGCTAGAAGGTCTTTGGGTATCATACAGGATGACTTCGTTGCCTGAAACAGATCTTTATGTAACTATTTCAAAATTTTCTATCTTGGACATTCAGCCAGATACAAAACCTGAAATGCGTCTGATGCTTGGATCATCAACTGATGCTTCCAAACAAGTTTCTGGTGGAAACATCCCATACTCTCTAAATAGAAAAGGCTTTAGGGGAATGAACTCTGAATATGCCGTCGAGGCTGATGCACCAAATTCGACAATGTTTCTAATGGACTATAGATGGAGGCCTTCCTCCCAATCATTTGTAGTTCGCATTCAGCAGCCACGTGTCCTTGTTGTACCAGATTTCCTTCTAGCCGTGGGTGAGTATTTTGTGCCATCATTGGGAACTATAACTGGAAGGGAGGAATTTATTGATCCTAAGAAGGATCCCATTAGCAGAAGCAATAGCATAGTGCTTTCTGAATCTGTTTACAAACAGAGTGAGGATGTGGTTCACTTGTCTCCAAGTAGACAACTAGTAGCAGATGCTAAGACAGTTGATGAATATACATATGATGGTTGTGGAAAGATTATCTGTTTAAGTGAAGAAACAGACACAAAGGAATTCCATTCAGGGAGATCTCGACCAATTATAGTTATTGGACGTGGTAAGAGGTTGCGGTTTGTCAATGTTAAAATTGAGGTACTTACAGCTTACACTTTTCACCTCCTCTGAAAACTATCACACCTTTTATGACTGTTTTGTGTCCTAGTTATTTACTGCAAAGCTTGCTCTCTCTGTTTTTTTGGGCATGATGTAGTGTTCTCAGAAAGAAGTTTCTCTTGACAACAGATCCATGTATGATTTTGAAGAGAATTGAAAGTCAAAGTTGAGAATAGGCTTGAGACTCTCATTTTTTCATGCTTGAACATGTTACATGTACTCATTTGTGTTGAACTTGTGAAATAAAATCCATTTATTAAAGCAAAACTTGTTATCTTTTTTATTTTTATTTCCTTTATTTTTGCTTTGTTGACATGTATCTAAGATGTTGCCTTTATTTGCAATAACATCCAGATGGACTACTGTCTTCATTATTATTTGACATGTTGTTTTTGCCCATCAGAATGGTTCCCTTTTGAGGAAATATGCATACTTGAGTAATGATAGCAGCTATTCGATCTCCATTGAAGATGGTGTTGACATTTCGTTGCTAGACAATTCTTCATCTGATGACGACAAGAAGATTTTGGATTACATGCATGAACAATCAGATGTCTTAAACTCTTCTGATTCTGAAAACGATTCAAATAGGCTGCAGAGTTTCACTTTTGAATCCCAGGTATTTTTATTTTATTTTATTGATGCTGTTTTATTAGCTTCTGTTCTCATAGTAATCTGCCATCTAGGCTTTAAATTCCCTTAACCTTTTCATGGTCCCTGTTTTTTTGGTTGCTGGTTGTTTTACATGGAAAGAGAGGCATATGGTCTGTTGTTATATATTATGAATGCTGCCAGCTTCTTCTTTTGTGTATTCTTCTGCACCATTGCCCTCTGATTGACAAGTGAGGGTTTCTCCTTAGTTCAAAGAAAAATAGGACATCTAAGGGGTGGTTACACGATCTCCCTGAAATATTTGCTAAACAAATTGTTTAGTGGAGTTTCTTGCTGTAATGGGATGATTATAAGGTGTAAGGTCTTCTGCATAGAATCATTTTGATGATGTTTCTTAGCAATAATGAATCAATTTTGGTTATCCAATTCTTTCTGTTGTGATCTGACCTATTTCATTTGCAATGTTTGTGTCCATGTTTAGGTTGTTTTTCCAGAGTTCACTTTCTATGATGGTACAAAATCTTCACTGGATGATTCTTCATATGGTGAAAAGCTCCTAAGAGCAAAAATGGATTTGAGCTTCATGTAAGAATGGCCTGCTTATTTCTTTGCAACCTTTTGTTGCACATTTCAGTTTTTTTGGAAGCTAATTAATAAAACTAGTTTGCAAAAAAGCCTTGCTTCTTTTTTCTTCGATGCACTTCTTTTGTGTGTGTGTTTTGATGTCTGTGCCTCACAATTTCATTTTTATGTTCTCCATCCTTTAGTGTTGAACTGTTGACCAATTTTGCTCCATGCTCCATACTTGTAAGCTAAGAAATCGGTCCCTTTTTCTTCAATTTCTGTTTTTCTAAAGCACTGTGGGTTAAGAATCGATTTGAAATTTAAAATCTCAACTGTTACATTGATATTCAGATAACTTTTTATAAAAGGACTCTTACTGGTGATAGTTACAACTAGCAAACATATTTTAGTATGACACCACAAATTCCTCCCTGCTTCTCCCCCCCTCCACCACTATGCCTTGTGATGGTAATCATATTGCGCAGCAATATGACTACTAACTGAGCTGTACTTTTGAATCTCTGTTTTTGTTAACAGGTATGCATCCAAAGAAAATGATATCTGGATTAGAGCCCTCGTGAAAGATCTGACTGTTGAGGCTGGTTCTGGTCTCATGATTCTTGATCCAGTGGATATTTCAGGAGGATATACCTCTGTTAAAGAGAAAACGAGCATGTCTCTGATATCAACGGATATATGTGTGCATCTTTCATTGAGTGTCATTTCTCTTCTGCTTAACTTGCTGAATCAAGCTACTACAGCATTGCAATTTGGAAATGCGATTCCCCTGGCACCTTGCTCCAACTTTGACCGAGTTTGGGTCTCCCCTAGAGGTTGTCCTTGAACCATTGAAGTAGTTTGATTGTTTATATTCTGATATTACTGTTTTAACTTTTTCCATAGTTTGATTATTTATCTTCTATATTACTATTTTAGCTTTTTCCATGGAATTATAGTTCCTTTTTATTCAAGACTTTGACTCTTTGATGCTCTTATCTACATTTGGGGTATATTTGTGCAGAAAATGGCCCTTATAATCACCTTACCTTTTGGAGGCCTCACCCTCCATCAAATTATGTTATACTGGGAGATTGTGTGACATCAAGGTAACATTAAGTGGCTTTTAAAGTTTTATTTTGTTTGTGTAGTTCAGTATGGCTGAATGTTCATAGGATTCTAAGTTTTTCTTTTATTCCTTTTCTTTACATTATAGTGATTGACTACTAAGAAGAACATGTTATCTCAGTGGACTTGCGACTTATATTTTCTCCATCACTGTTAGGATTTTCTTGGTAGGGTGCATCCTATTTGTATCTATCATAGTTTTTTGTAGTTCTATTCCAAGTACTGCTGATTGAATTGTTAAGTTACTTGGAGGAATATTTCCCCCCTGTTGATTGGCTTTTAGTGTTCATCTGGGTATATTTGAAATATATCAAAAGCAAACATGTCACATAACTCCTGACTGTCAAGGATAAGCACAGGTTCTATGTTATGTTCTGGGGAATATTCCTTTTACATTTCTAAACTTCAACCTGTTGTCCTAAAACTCTGTTGCTAGAAAAATATGATTTTTTATCATATGTTTTCAAATGTCTTTTACCTGTTAAGTTAAAGATATTATACAATATGTCCAAAACCTGTAAAAATTGTTACACAATCAACCCATCAGTTCAGAAAACACTGAAGCATATCAGGGATTGCATCAGCTTTCATAATTATTTCTCTAAACTCTACAACAGTTGGCTAATTCATTTTTTCTGTGATGTTCTCATTTCAATCATCTATTCCCTCCTTTTCACTAAGTTACTTTTGATACTCCTGATTTTACCATCAACAACATATTCCACTCCATGAAGATTCGCTATAGAATTTTACTATTGCTGATGACTACTGCAAATTTTCTATTTTACCTTTGACTTGGTATGAACTTGTATTTATACCCATCCCTCTAGTTTTGCCAAGCATTTCATTCACCTATCTTCGATAATTATTTTTTTCTTTTCTAAAGAAGATTATAAAATGGTAACGCTAATGCTTCATCATAAGTTCTCCATTTTCTTCTAGTAATGTTTTTGATAGATGCCTGAACATGAACACTGTTCTTTTATATCATGTTTTCCTAATTCAAGTTATTTTCATGTATCAGGCCAATTCCTCCTTCACAGGCAGTCATGGCTGTGAGTAATGCATATGGCCGTGTGCAAAAACCTGTTGGGTTCAATTTCATTTGCTTATTACCTGGTATTCAAGGGTTTGGAGGTGAAAGCCATTCTGGTTTTGATCGTGATTGTTCTCTATGGGCGCCTGTTGCACCTCCTGGTTACACAGCACTGGGATGTGTAGCACATGTAGGATGCGAACTGCCACCGACTCACATTGTTTATTGCCTACGAACCGACCTTGTAGCATCTTCAACATATTCGGAATGCATTTTTAGTTCTGCACCAAATCCTCAGTCTGAATCTGGTTTGAGCATATGGCGTCTAGACAATGTCATTGCATCTTTTTATGCCCATTCTTCTACTGAATACCCTCCTAGAGATAGTGGTGGTGATCTGAATCATCTTCTTCTATGGAACTCAATCCGAAATCAATCGTTATCTAGAGATGCGGTATCAGATTTGGCTGATGAACATGACCATGGAAGTCAAACAAGTAACAATAGTGCTAATTCGTCTGGATGGGACATTAGTAGATCAATTTCAAAAGCAACTAACTCGTATATGTCAACTCCAAACTTTGAGAGAATATGGTGGGACAAAGGTAGTGAGATCCGTCGACCCGTCTCAATATGGCGACCTATTGCATGTCCAGGTTATGCCATACTAGGAGATTGCATAACTGAAGGGTCAGACATTTTTTTATGCATTTCATTTGTCAAATTTCCTTGTCGATTGATCTCTGTTTTCATGAGTTTCCACTAATGAAATGGAGGAACTATCTTTTCTTTCTTCCAGCTCAGAACCTCCTGCCCTGGGCATAATATTCAAGATTGGGGATCCTGAAATCTCCTCAAAGCCTGTCCAGTTCACTAAAGTGGCCAATATTGTTGGGAAAGGTTTTGATGAAGTCTTCTTCTGGTATCCAATTGCTCCTCCTGGTTATGCTTCACTAGGATGTGTTGTCACCAGAACAGATGAAGCACCACTCTTGAATTCATTTTGTTGCCCGAGGTTGGATATTGTGAACCAAGCTAATATTATTGAGGTGCCTATTTCAAGATCTCCAAGCACTAAAGCATCTCAGTGCTGGAGCATTTGGAAAATCGAAAATCAGGTTAAGTTGAAAGCAAAAATGACCTACTTGTCTAAATTTCTCATTTTCATGTGTGGTATGTGGAGATCGCGGTGTGTTTCAACAAATTTTATGTCAAAATTTTGTGTTTAAAATTTCAGAATCCATAGTCTTTCCAACTTATCGTTTTGATCCTCTTTAAACCTTTTCTAGTGTGAAGGAAATTATAATGTTTATCCTTTTCTGTGTTTCTGTAGGCATGCACTTTTCTTGCCCGTATGGATCTTAAGAAGCCATCGAGCCGGTTGGCATTCACAATTGCTGATTCTGTGAAGCCAAAATCACGGGAAAATGTAACTGCTGATATCAAGCTGGGATGCTTCTCCATTACCATTTTAGACAGCCTATGTGGAATGGTACATGAATTCTTCAAAATAAATTATGCTAGACATTGCTCTAAAGAATTTGTTTTTTTTTTTTTTTTTTTTTTTTTTTTTCTATTTTTAT